CGGGGCGCGGGCTGTGCGCTTGCCGCGCTGCTCCGGGGGGCATCCCCAGTGAGGGCCTCAGCCGGCTGCCAGGCTCTTCTGACGGCCGGTGTTTGCTGTCGGCGGTGCAGTGCCCGGGCAGGTAAAGAAAAAACCAAAACCAACAAAACCTCACCCCTCGAAAACTAGAGTCCACCTCGGGCTTTACTCGTGCCGGGGGGGAGGTTGAGCATTTCCCCAGGCACAGTATGCTGGACTCGGCGCTCAGTGGTGGCCAAACTCGGTCACTCGTAGCCCTTGGTGCTTTCTCTTCCCCCGAACTTCAGTTCCGGGATTACAGCCTGGCCTCGTGTTAGTGATTCCAAAACTGAGAGAAACGGTGGGCCGGGGAGAGGAGAGGAGAGGACGGAGGCTCGCTGAAGCGCGGGGGAGCCGGCAGACCTCCGTCCTGCTCTGCACCGGTGCCTCGAACACCAACCAGTACACCTCGGCGGAGGGAGAGCTGGGCTTCGGCTGCTTCCCCGGCTTCCCAGCTCCTGAAGGTGTCATGGTGTAGAGGGACCAGCTGAAACCGAAGCTCTTTATACAGGTAAATCTGGGCCTGAGATACTAGAGAACATGTGTTGACAGAAAAAAACGTGGCCCGTAGCGTAGTTTCTGAAGGAAAGTGTCTCTATGCATGCCTCTGTGTAAGAGCCTCCTCTCCCCGCAGTAACTCTCGAGCTTCTTGGACAATTAAGGGGGGGAGGTAATTAAGTTCCTTGACACTTGTGAAAACGGGTAGAGGAGACAAATAAGGAGGCCTCACTAGGGGCAGGAGTATCACATTATTTACATCCAGAGAATCCAGTTGGGCTAAAGTAGGAAAAAAGGAAACTTCACGAATTGATGGAAGTATTTATCAGTTACAGCCGCAGCAGGAGGTGGAGTTTACATCTTATCTGAAGTTTTGTTCCTGCAAAGCCTTTGAGGCCCACATAATTCTACAGCAATTGTTAGGCATCAGTGGGATTACTGACCACACATAAATTGAAAGTCACTAAATGTTTGCAGGGTTGGGGCTGTGTGAAAGACTCAAAGTTCTGGTGAATTATAGTGATAGGCTCTGGATTTGGGCATGTCAGGACATGTTTGAAACACAAGGAAGAATTTCTACAGGCAGTTGTGAGTGGTGCAGAGGAAACTCAGTTAAGCACTCAGAATGTAACAAGGATACTTCTGTGGTGAAAAGTGCTGGGAGACTTGGAAATATTCATCAGTGCTCTGGAAATTAGTTATATGCTCTACCAAAAGAATAGGTTACGGATTAGTTCACTTGCCTACATATTCCTGGCCTATTCGCTGGCTCTTATCACAAGCCATTGCTGTAATTTTATCTTAAAGTTTGTGCCTCGTCTGGGGTGATGTGACCCTCTGGGTAGGGAAGCCTTTTAAGACTGGTCCTCTGCCTTTCCTCTGGGAGGATTTTGTCACATGCATTTCAAAGAGTTGTTTAAAATGTCACTACTGCAGACTGACTGTAGGTCTCCCTTTACCGCTAGGCAGAGAGCAGCTTTGTTGTTTGGGGGAACCTGTTTTGAATCAGTTTCTTTTTGCTGCAACAAGCATTTCAGGGAGCTGGTTAACATCTCCTTTGAGTGCACTGTTTACAGACAGACATGGGCAGAACCCCAGGAGAGAGTTCTGGCAAAAGCATAGGACCTATGTGCCAGGAAAGACTGCAGCGTCACCCTTACTGATCAGCACCCAGAGGACTGTTCTGCACCAGACGTAGATGGGTGTTAGCAATCTCTCTGCTGACCTCAGAGCCACAGTTTGAGGATGGAGATACAGCAGGAGCTATTTAGGGCTCTGGCAGCCAAACTCTTACGAATCTTGATGCCCCAACTTAAGCTACAGCTGTCACTAGCTCCCCAGTGAGTGACATCCTTGCAGGAGAGGCTGAAGGTAGAGGCACGCACCAATGCCACAGCCGTGCCCACAGGGATGCTGGGCTGTGGCCGGGATGGCAGAGACGATGGCACACATTCCCTCCTGCCTCTCCCATGGGAGCAGAGCAGAGGAGACAGCAATGCTGGAGCACCACATAACTGTGTGCTCTCTGAACATGAGGCAGAGCCCTTACAAAACATCACAAGTCACCAGGTATTAACAAAGGTGGTCCAGGCACCAGCTGCAGCATCCCAGGAATTGATACTCACTGTTGTCATGGCTGAACTGCTGTGGTTATCTGAGGATCCCCAAGCTACCCACTGAGGGGTAGTGGCAAAGCCAATCGCAAGGCTGTTGCTCCTGTGTTGCACCAGCCAGAGCATAACAGATGTCATTTGGCTGTAGCAAGGTCTTATGACTGTGTTCCTCCATGGACTGGTGGGTGGGAAGAGGGGAGGAAAAGGAAACAGGAGAGATTTGGGACTCACACTTTCTACCTCCACTCTGTGCTCTGCAGAAACCTATCAGCTCTTCTCGCTGTGCTGGACTTGGCTGCCCCTTGTGTGAGTCCAAAGTACGTGTAAAGAACACAGGAGTTGGTCACTGGACACAGTAATGGTGCAAGAGTGGGATATGCAGCCAGGAATCTGAGATCTGTATAAGGAGTCAAAGCTGTGATACATCCCAGCACTGAGGGGGCTCCACTTCGGTGCAAGGCAGAGAGGCAGTAAGTTGGGATTGACAGCCGTTTGGCAAGGTAACTGACCCTCCACCTACCCCTGCAAGCTGCTGGCCACGACATCTTCTGGCACTGGGGTATGGATTTGCATCTTGTCTGTCCACATTCCCTCCTCTCCCTGTCCTTTTCTGTCTTTCATTTGTCTGGATTTCTCTCTTGTGCTTGTCATAAGCAGACTGAATGTTACAGATCCAAAAAATGTCCCTAAATCACTAAAATCATATGATTTTACAGCTGGATAGTTACTTATTCTGTAAGGAACTAGCAGTGTTTATATTATTTTGTAATTGAAAGACATTTGACAATGCATGAAAAGAATGACTTTGGAATTTTCAGACCTCCCAGTAAGTTGAGAATACTTCTCTTTTTGAGAAGTAAGGCTTTGCATTTTGGATCCTTTTTCAAAGTCATTTAAAGTTTCCCTGTCTCATAAAGTGACTCTTTTTGCTGACCACACATCAAAATAATGTTTAAAACAACAGTAATTAGAATTTTTTCAGGGCTTTGCTACACTCATTTCATTTCTGGCAACCAATTTATCTCAATGCTGATAAACTAGGAAAACTGTAAATATTTTTGTACCAAGTGACACTGTCGTCAGCCAGTAGTTAATGCACGATTGCTGGATTATCTGTGCAACATCTTGGCTCACACTGTTACTTATGTATTGTCAGTCCGTAGCAGACACTTAATTTGCAGAAGTCAGAGTTGAAGTGCTTGGGTAGCATTCAGTGCCTCTGCTGTATAAGGCAACTGAAATGTGATCTACAAGATTAGCGGGGCTTGTAGGAAGGAAAGGAATGTCAAGTCCAGGAGAGCTGTGACAGTGACAAGGCTGAGTGCTGCTGGTTGAATGTAGGGTGAGGATCTCAGCTGCATGATGGTCACTGGAGAGCAGGGGCCAAACCATGGCCAAAGTGGAACTGTCCTCAGCAGTTACTCCAATTAACCTTTGGGATTGTTGTTCCAGTCTATTCCACTGTGTAGTAGTAAAAGCTGTTCTGAAACCACATGGCTGATATCAGGTTTGTATCTGTATCACTGTAGCATTTCTTGGAGAGATAATCAGTAAGGAATAACCTCGAAGAGACTATTATGGCTCTTGCCGTTGTGCATTTTTTACGGAAGATCCCAAGTGCTATGTCCCTGCGGGCTCGCCTGAGAAGATCTCTCCAACTTCGCAACTGGTGCTACCCAGTTCACGCCTCTTTGAGTTATGAAGCCATAAAACAACAGTACAGGCCAGAGGTGCCAGAGTACTTCAACTTTGCACGAGACGTGCTGGACAGATGGACTGAAGTGGAAAAGGTAACAGTTACTTGGCTTCTCTGATGCTGAAGTATTTAATGCTGGTCATTAATGCTGAGTATCCAACAAATCCAATAACTAAGACACTGGGGTTATGTTCTGATTATAATCTGCTGATCATTTCATGCAATTTGAACCTGTAGATCCCTTAGGCCACATGCTGTCCTGTCCACAAGTCCAAATAGTTCTTTCTTTTAATCAGTAACTCCAGTGAGATTGAGTGTGAATAAATAGGTGCCTCATAAATGAGACTGTGAACTGAACCACTGTAAACCTTGCATCAATTACCCCATCAGCCGTGACATGCATCCTACCTGGATGTGCCAGGGAAATCACTTGACCTCTGTGTGTTTCATTGCTTGCCTGTAAAATGAATGATAAATACAGCGTTATGTCAAACCTCACCCACCTATCCCAAATGTGATTTCTTTTGCGTCAAGGACATGGAATCTACAGAACTGAACAACTTTGAACCCCAAACCAGACATAAGCTCTATGCAAGGAAAGGGAATATAGAAAAAACCCCATGAACTATAGGTTTATCACATTTCTTACTACATAGGTCTGGTCTCTATGGATGTAGGACTGGTTTTGCAGGCTCAGGCTGTTCATGATGAGGGGCTAAACGCGGTTGTGTCCAGCCTGGCAGCAAGAACAGAGCAGAGGTATCACCTGTCTGACACAATTGTTCCTTTTGCAGGAAAAACAGGTTTTGGCAGGCTGTAAACGGAGCAAGGAACAGCCTCTGGAGAAGAGATTTTGCCCTCTGAAGTGCACAGATGAAATCTGCTCCCCTGAAAATGAACCTTAGTGTTATTGTACCTTCAAATAGATAATAAGGTGTCATATTCTTGCTGCTCCAGTCAATTTTTTTGCTCAGGAGGTGACTTAGTACACTACTACTGCTAAATGCATTGTCCCCCTTTAAAGCACATCGTATGCATACATTTCAAATTGCTTCACACATCAGTTAGGTGAGACATTGATTAAAGGTCACACTGTGTGGGCCTGTGCTTTTGAAACTTTGATTTAATTTTCAGAAGTACCAGACAGGCCTAATTCCAGATGAAGCTGAAAATGAGCTCTGAGGGCTCAGGAGACTCTAGGGCACAACCCAGAGGTACTCACATTCATCAGCTGCTTTGTTGGCATGACCTGAAACAAAAAGATTCTTCTTTCTCTGTGCTGATTACTGTACAGCCTTTTTAGAGTGTAAGATGAGGAACTTGGGAAGGGAATACAAATTTAATTTCCTAAATGACATTTATAGGCTGTTCTGTCTAAGGGAGAATTCTCTGCCTTATTTGGAATCAGTGGCAAATTTCTATTGCATCCCCAGGTTTCTCCAGCACTGAATAAGTGATGAATGCTTTTCTTCCTCAAAGTTAAGGTGTTTCTAAAATGAAGCATTTGTACTGTACCCTGTTGTTCTATAGGAGGGTAAAAAGTCTAAAAACCCTGCATTATGGTGGGTAGATGGTGCCAGAGAAGAGGTGAGGTGGAGCTTTGAAGAGCTGGGAGTGTTGTCAAGGAAAGTGGCAAATGTACTTTCTGATGCCTGCGGTCTGCAACGGGAAGACAGAGTTATTCTGATTCTGCCCCGGATCCCGGAGTGGTGGCTGGTGAATGTGGCTTGCATGAGAACAGGTTAGCAAAAGCATAGAAATGGTATATAGGTACAGAAATTGTGACTTAAACCAATCCTTGCTATTTAATGCACTCAGAACTACCAGCATGCTAATGAGGATGAACTAGTGTCACGCTGGTCAGAAGGACTCTTCATGCAAAGTTTTTGCTTCATGGTGCTTTTAGGACTTTTGTGCATGCTCTAGCTATTAAGGAAACCCTGTGAGTCCATGTGCCTGTGTTATTCTCCTCTTTCCAGCACTTGTGACGCATTGCAAATGCACTCTCTTGCTAACTTGCAGTGAAATTAGCCCACACTTAACAAAGTGTTTCACATGTTCCCCTGTGGGAACTGTTAAATATTCACCTTCCCAGAATGTCTTGGTACCTCACAAACACTAGCAGTATACCTTGTGAGGCAACAGCTATGTTTACTGTAAATAAGTCAAGTCCAGAGAGATGGCATGTCCCACGGGCAGTATTTTCAGAACAAGGAAGGTTATTGTGTTGCCTTCTTCTACTTTTCCATGATCAAGATAGTATTTGCTAACTTGTGCTAATCCTCACATAGCATTTAATCCACCAAAGAAATCAGTATATTTACAAATGTAGTCCTGCTTTTAGTACAGGTCTGTCCTACTCAAAAGAACAAAACAAGCCGAAGTCTGCTTGTAGGTACAGGTGTTATTCTTAAATGTTGAGACTGTTTTTCCATTCCCCTTCCTTCCGTTCAGGAACTGTCTTGATTCCTGGGACACAGCAGTTGACAGCAAAGGACATTCTTCATCGACTACAGAAATCCAAGGCAAAGTGTATCATCACTGATGATTCTGTGGCACCAGCTGTAGACTCAATTGGGGCTCAATGCCAGTCTCTGAAATTCAAGTTGCTTGTGTCAGAGGGCCACAGAGAGGGATGGCTGAACTTTAAAGATCTCCTGAAGTGAGTAAATACTGCTGTGAAAGCACCACAGCAATAATGGAAGAAAAGTACAGTGGTTTGTTTTGAATAGGAAATGTTGGCACACACCAATATATTTTCACCCTTATAGGACTGCACAGTGGAAAAATATCAATGTTTATGACACTTTTGATTGCTGCAGTTATTTTGGTTAAATATTTTCAAAAATGTGTAAGTCAGACTTTCAAATCACTTTCTTCACCATTTTGCTTATTTTAAGAAACGCTCCTTCTGACCACCACTGTGTGACCACAAAGTGTCAAGATCCAATGGCTATCTATTTTACCAGTGGAACTACAGGATCTCCAAAAATGACTGAACATTCCCACAGCAGCTATGGTATTGGTCTCACAGTAAGTGGAAGGTACAGATATCACTTTAAACCAGACATATTTCTGTAGTGGGTCACATAGCAGAAGGAAGAGAAACACAAGATTTTTACCAGCAGCTTTTGTTTCAGTAGTTAAAAAAACAACGGTTGTTTTACATCCCAAAAAGTGTTGGCTTTTTTTTTTCCATAAAACAAGGCAGTTTGAGTCCAGCTGCCTTAGTTTATAGAGAATATAGCAGTCATATAATCACTAACTTCTTTTTAACATTTTGTTTAACTTTTGGTAAGTTCTTCATTGTATATAGTTAATAAGTTTCCCGTGAACGCACATTTATGAAGTCTGTACCATAAAAGAGGAAAAAACATGGGTCTGTTAGGCTTCTGAATTCATGTGTGTCTGGCTTAGACACAGCCCCTGCAGGAACAAAATGCTGATAGTTCAGAATCTTTAAATTTATAAAGCAATGTTGTTTGTAAAATTGATATGGCAGTGCACTTCACTCTAACAGGCAAAGAATAACAAATCAGAAAATACCAAACTAGAAGTAAGTAAACAAAAAAACCCCACAGCATCCCTAAAAATGGGTTCAACAAGACCCCAGCAATCTCGTACATATTCATACAACACCATATTCTGAGGTAGTGTTAGCTTGTCCGTCAGTATAATTTTTCCCTTAGAAAAATGCAACATCAGCCTATCCTGATGACACCCTCACTATGCTGTGACTTACTCCTGCTCAGGAATTCAGCCTTTCCTAATTGCCATTTACCCAAGACAACCAGTGATGGATTTGCTTCACTGGCACATTTCTTGTTGACATTTTAATATTTGCCTTATTCCTGCCAAATAGAGACTATGGACCATTTCCTTGTGTTACCAGGTACTGGCTGGACTTGACTTCCTCAGATATATTTTGGAACACATCAGACACAGGCTGGGCAAAGTCAGCTTGGAGCAGCATTTTTTCACCTTGGATTCAAGGGGCATGTGTATTTGTACATAAGATGCCACACTTCGACCCAAGCATTGTCTTTGAGGTAAGTGAGGAGAGCCCAGCAACAAACAGCACTATTCTCTCTGGTGGGTCTTGCCCAGGTTTTCATTTCCCCTGGTGCTGCGTGGGGGCAGCAGCACTCAGCACAGTTATAACTTTCACCACATGGTAACCAGCCGATTAGTTAAGTTGTGAGCGCCGCAAATACATACCCCAAAACAAGAGCATATCTGACGTCCAAAGAGTTTCATCTTATATTCTGCTCTGGACTTGACTGCACAAACCTGCAAACATCCATTATTAGGCCTAAAAGTGAAGTACACAAGAAATTGTTCTGGGATTCCTGGAGCACTTTGGTGTTACTATTAAAGTAAGTGACAATAACAGATGAATAAGAATTTCAGTTGCCTGCACTGCATAATTCAAAGTTAAGGAGTGAAGAGGCAGCAAGGTTGAGTTTCTTTAAAAAAAGGCACCAACATTATATTCTCTTACATCCTCCACACTCCAAACTCTTCATGATTTGAAAAAGACTACCATGTTTCATTTTGCATGGAATGACTTTATCATCATATCCATGTTAATTAGGTGGCTGGAAATTGCTAGTTAATCATTAGGTTATGCTGAAGAATGCTGTCAGCTGTAACACCTACAGAGCATCTGAAAAAGTAGCCTTATGGTTTCACTTGTTTTCTACTTAAACTGCAATTATCAAGAAATTCTGCAAGAGAAACTGTAAAGCATTCAAGAGCAAACAACTTTGGTGTGTTGAACTAATTGTAAAATGATGTAGATTCTGTTTTGAAGAAGAAATTAATTAAATGTAACTGCTGTGTGTTGGTGTTGGCAAGTACAGAGCTAACTGCTTTTAGGACACTTAATGTTTTGTTTGTTTGTTTCATAAGCTGGATGCAGAGATCATTATATTATCTCTTACAATGAAGATGAGACCTCACAGGTTTCAGTATATTGGTAACATTTACTTTTTTTTTCCTAAATTCTCTAGAGTCTGTCAAGATTTCCCATAACTGTCTTCTGTTCTCCTCCAACTGCCTACCGAATGTTTGTGCAACATAAGGTGTCCAGGTAACCAAAAGCAGAGTATCCTTGTTGATGTATTTGGTCAAAACAGTGAGACCAAATGCTCATTTCACCTTGATTTTATTCCAAATGTACAATGGCATAACAGTAACACAGCTCATGTATTTCTCAACATTTTGAATCTTAAGTATTAGGAACAAAGTCAGAATAAAGATTTAGGGATAGCTTAACCACCTCAGATTTCATAAATTACAGTGAACTTGCATAAGACTGAAATGCAGTTTAGCTGAGGTTGTAGTAGGATACCAGTGATATCATGATTAACGTATCTTCAGAAGTGCTTTTATAATCACATACCCACTCCATTTGTTTTTCCACTTGTTCCTCCAATACTATAAGCTACTTGAAGTGCATGTGTCAGCACAGCTTGGTGAAATGTATGAAAGAATGTTTGGCCCATTTAATTCTTCAGTGAGTTTTTATTGTCATTAGGGTTGAACTTTGTTAGTCTTCTTCAGTTTAGACCCCAGTTTAGACTCTAGGGTTAGAAACAGTATATCGATCGTTAGATTTTCTAAAATAATACAGAAGTAAACCAGTATTTTTTCCTTTTTATTTGCATTTTTTCAGTTTTGTTTTGTTTAACAGTACACAGTTCAAATGGAATGAATAGGACTCAGTAAAAATTTTGGGGTTATGTAGAAAGCACCTCAAAATACAGGAATACAGTAGTGAATTGGACATATAGCAGATAGATGACTGCCAGTTATTTGTGTTCTCTTTCCCACTAAGCTATACATTCAAAAGCCTGCGGCACTGTGTGAGTGCTGGGGAGCCAATCAACCCTGATGTGATGGAAGAATGGAAAGCGCAGACTGGGCTGGATATTTATGAAGGCTATGGACAGACAGAAACAGTATGTTCTGCTTTACAGTGTAAAAAAGTATGCTTTACAGATACAGCAATAAATTCCATTCAGGTTGCCAAGAAAAAGTGATTGAAATGATTATACACAGTTAGGACTTTTAAGGGAAAAATCAATTGCAATAAGCAACACTGGAAAAATGTAGTTTTTGTAAGTCATACAGCAATCATAACAGCTTCACCCAAAATGCAAGGAGTGTTTTTCATTCCTGTGGGCTTTGGGTTGGGAACTAACACAAAAGGGGTAAATTCCTCATTACTGCATTCCAAATTCTGCTTTAGAATCTGCCTTTAGAGCACTCACTAACATTATTTGGAGCTTTGGGCATGATTCTGAGGGCATAGTTTATTTCTAGAAGTTCAGTCATTGGATATATGATTATAATGAAGACAATTAGTATGTCTTATAGAAATACACAATATTAGCTGAGAGTTTTAAACCTAAGCTAAAGACTGAATATAGAAGCCACAGTTTAATTTAAAAAAACCCAACCCAAATCCAACAACACTTGTTACAGGTGCTGATCTGTGGAAATTTTAAGGGAATGAAAATCAAACCTGGGTCTATGGGAAAGCCGTCTCCAGGGTATGATGTCAAGGTACCGTACCTCTGGTGATTCAATCTCTCTCTCTTGCGTAATCACATTCCATTAAAGAGGTTTGAAAGCTCTAACACAGAGTTGTACCATGTACCATCATTCAGCAGTGAATGAAAGAGTGAAGAAATGCATGTTACTGCCCTAAACTGAGCATGCAGAATAAGCAATTGGACTTCCCTGTTGCACCATCCTCACTAACATAGATGACAGCCTACTGCTTACTGACAGTTAGATATAAAACTTCAAGGCAATGATAGAAATTAAATTGCTGAGTTAAGGAAGAGTGGGAGTGATTATTTTTTCCTGGTGATAACAAAACTACTGAAGCAGATTCTAGCACCAGATCAATTTGCAATATGGGTTAAGATTTTTAGTATCTTTCTTTCAGTTCTTAAGTTTTCCCACCCAGTTACTTATGATCCTCCCTGGGGTCTTACTAACTTACTAACTTCCTTACATGTTTGCATAGTACTTGGCGTTCCTCAGATAAAAGACATAGTGCAAAGTACAGTGGAGTAGTAATAATCTTACACTTCAGTTGTCAGAGTAAGACGCCCTACCGCTCCAAATCTTTTCCCAATAAAAAATAACTTCAATTATGTATTTTAAAAGCGCTACAGCATTCTATAATCTTAACATAATGCTTTTAAATTTGGCTCCAAGATAATAAGATTGTGTTTTGTTTATTTTTAGATTATAGATGAAAACAGTAATATTCTGCCTCCTGGAAAAGAAGGAGATATTGCCATCAGAGTAAAACCTACGAGATCGCTTTTTCTTTTTACTTGCTATGCTGTAAGAATATTTCTACAGTTAAAAGTAGATACCCTGTTAAATCTCTGTCACAATTAATCTGATGCCCCATTTCATTTACTTATACTCTGCTTACTGATCTGAAAACCTGTGGGGAGGAAAGAGGGATTTCCATTTTTTTTCCTGCAGATGCTTGGTCTACTTATACAATCAATTACATGTTTGATGAGATTGTCCTGCCTAGCAAGTTAAAATCCACTTTCTTTTGATTGCTATTTCCTTAATAAAACCAGAAATGTTGACAGACTCCCTAATCCCAAAATACTCTTTGGCCTAAGGGCTAGAGCCCCCATCTGAGAAGTAGGACACTGTTCAAATCCCTTCCCTCCAGATTTGAGCTCCTTGGAGCGTTTCACACATGGCAACATTTTTCAGGTTTTTTTTCCATGTTGGTTAGAATTTTCAGTCCAACAACCACTAAAACAAATGCATAGTGCTTTCAGTTCTGATACCAGGAAACCTTATTAAATTTTATGGATAGTATCAGCCTACAGTCAGGTCTTCTGAGCAGTACTGAGCATCTGGGAAAGGAACACCATGCGGGGAAGGAACACCATGCACACTGCATAGAAAAATTAAAAAAAGCAAGTCAGTTGCATTTGCTGTAGAAATAGTGCTTATTAATTGCGCTGTGCTGAGCCAAAACTTCTCTGGGGGTGGAAAAAAAATATCTCAGGATAAGAGATGCTGGAAATACAAAGGAAAAAATCATTAAAGGATAATCACCTAAAAGCAAATTATCATTTCCATATGCCTACGTATTTTCGCAACCTTCAGTGGGTCCTAAAGCCGTGGGGCATAATATGATTAAAATTTTAAGTCTGTCACAAGTAGTGCAACTTAATTTATTGCAATTTATGAATTTTATATCTAGCTTTGTAGCTTAGTAATGAATTAATAATTCTGTTATTAATGTACCACTTGAATCTGATGCACATGACCACAGTATGAAAAGCTGAAATTTGTTAATATTTGACTGTACTATAACTTGTGTGCTAAATACATTAGAATGCAATGATGGTGTAGTTTTCATGTAAAATGCAATTTAATATTTCCTAGGATGATCCAGAGAAAACAGAGGCAACAATACGTGGGGATTTTTATGTCACTGGAGACAGGGGGATTATGGATGAGGAGGGATACTTCTGGTTTGTTGGAAGAGCTGATGATGTCATTAATTCTGCTGGGTAATTTAAGACTGATTAACAATAAATCATTAAACTTGAGTAACATAGATGATTCAGATGAGAAGTTATGTTTATGTGTTATCACTAAAAGCCCTTTCCTCTGTTTTAAAGATACCGTATTGGACCATTTGAAGTAGAAAGTGCCCTAGTAGAGCATCCTGCAGTGGTGGAATCAGCAGTTGTCAGCAGTCCAGACCCCATCAGAGGAGAGGTAAAGTAAACAAGTTAAACAAACTTACATATTTAAATAGCATTGTGCATACCAGTGCTAATAAAGCCCAACTTCCAAGGGATTTGTCTATCTAGGGATTTTTTTTTTTTTTTTTTAATTTGAAACTAGATAAATTCAAGATGGCATTTCTACTCTGTCAGACACTGGAGAATCCACATAGGAAAAAACTGACCAAGGCAGTTGCCTCAAATCCAATGTAACAAAAGCACCATTTGAAGTTTTCCCTGTCATTCAAATACTTACAGTTTTTTGTCTTTATTAAACGTATACAAACTGCTTGCATGATCCAGACCAATAGTGAGCACACACAGACTTTGGCAAAGCTTTCTGTACTTGCCCTATACATCATTCTACAGTTTGCCAGCAAACGTTTGGTTAAAGTTTCAAATCTTACTGTTGCATAATACTGTTTCACTGGCATTTAAACCATTGCTGCCATAACTTTTTTAGGTAGTGAAAGCCTTTGTTGTTTTAACATCTGACTATGCTTCACATGATCCGGAAAAAATGATGAAAGAGCTACAAGATCATGTTAAGAAAGTTACTGCTCCATACAAGTATCCTAGGAAGGTGAGTGCTCAAATACCCAAATAATTTTCACTGCCATAAGACAGTGGGGGTTAACTGTTATGTGACCTGTAGGCCTATGCTGCTGAGATTAAGAAAAAAGTAAAAATTTAGGTAAACTGTATCTTACTCTGTATTACAATTTCCTCTGTTTCCCAATAGATGGAATTTGTTCAACAGTTGCCAAAAACTATTAGTGGGAAGATCAGAAGAAATGAACTGCGCCAGAAGGAGTGGAGAAAAGATTAGAAGTACTTGTTGCTTTTTTATAGGATCTTTTACAAAGTAAGATACTACAGATTTACACAGTAACATACAGTAAATGATTATACTATGTCCTCCTTAGTTTAGGTTTGAATAAATTATTCCCCGATTCCCAGCATTTGGCTGTCCCAGGTACTACACTAATAACTAATAGTACAAAAGCAGGCAGACTGATAGGAATGAAATGGGAAGCTCATGTAGTCAAGAGCGCAATAGGTGATGTGTGTTAAATAAACTAATGAACTGTCACCAGCATTTTATCTTTATTATTATTTAATTTACATGATAAAAACAATAAGAGTTTAAGAGAACACTATTGCTTCAAGAGTCACTTTTGAGAAGTATGACAACTTCTAAATATATTTTTAAAAGTTAGTTATCCTTAAAGGTATATTTAGAAAAAATAGTGTAAATAAAATCTGTTTCATTAAAGTGTTCTTTAAGGACTAGACTAGTAAAGAATTTAAAATACATGATAAAGCAGAAATTTAAGATGTGTAGCAACAGTTGCTCATAATTGTAGCACTTAGTTTTATCTGTTCTCTCACACTTCATTAACAAGACACTTTATGATATATTGATATTTTTGTATGCTTGAGTAATTTCCATTTTTATCTATGTTAACAAAGCAATGTCATTTTTGTCCCATTCTCAGAACATATATCTGACATCATTGGACTGTCCTGATTATATGAAGCATGACCAACTGAGTTTAAGATTCGGACAAAAAAAAATTGTCAATTTTCAAGTTCTCATAGAGGGTCTAAGACACAAATATTTTTTGTTGGAAGAATTTCCTAAATTACTAGCATAAGTTCCAAGAGAGGTCAAAGCATCTGCATTCACGGTGAGACCATTAGATTTCTCTTTTAGAAGCACATATTCCCACTTGAAATATCCACAGCCTTTCTTATTACCTTCACGCTTGCCAACAGGACAACAAAAAAATGCTTTGCCATGATTTGGACCAGCATTTGACACATACAGTTTTTTAGCTCTTCGACCGCAGTTACACAGAGGGGGAGTTGGTTTTCCATTTTTCACAGCTGTTACAGACTGATTCAAATTGACTGTGGAGTTCAGAATGGCAGGAGACACTTCAGGCAAATTTGAACTTCTTAAAGGTAAGGAATGATCAAAAGATGCAGTTTTCTCTTGATATATAGCAAAAGGCTGTTTTTTTGCTGGTGGGAACGCTTTTGGACTAGTTGGCTTTCTTTTAGGAACCTCCAAAGGAGTAGAATAATTTCCAGTTAATGCTGATTGTGCTGAAATAGCATTTACCTTTGCAGACGGCAACTTAAAAGCTGAAGAATGTGAAGTCTGCCTTTGTACTGTTCCTACATTATAGATAGTAGTATCAGGACTTTTGTAAACAATAGATTTCAGAGGTTCCACAGGTACTACAGTTTTCTGCAGACTTTGATTATCTGAACTCATCACAGCCAATTGTTTCGAAATTATTTTCTCTTCAGACACTGTTAAAATATCTGTACTTGAATCATCTTTGAATTGAACACAGTCTGAATTTTGTATATATTGAGATTCTGGTATTAAAGCGACATCTTCCCAGTCAGTCAGCAGAGATAAGCAATCAGAACTAGTACTTACATCCTCACTGGAGATATTAACTGAGGAGATGGTAGTGGAGACGAGCACTAGTCCTGATCCGTGTACTGGAGGGCTGTGTCTGGCTGTACTCAGCAGCTGCCCGTTGCTCAGTCGTTGCTGAATGTCTGTTGATACCGTACTGGGAGATTGCTGTGCCTGCTCAAGAGAAACGGGAAATCTGTCAGTAGATGCTGTTGAAGAGTTTTGTGCTTGAGTGTGTAACTCAGTCCTTGAGCTGCAGCTCGGTACAACGTGGACATCTGCAGAGAAATCAGTGCAAGCGGTCTGTTGTTCTTCAGTTTGTATATTAGGATTTCTCTTAATTCCAGCAATACCGTTCTGTTTTTTTTCAGCCAGAGAGTTAGTTTCACAAGTTCCATCTCTAGATGTTTCAGGTCTGCTGTTACTTCCCAGTGGAGTCTTGTCAGTGAAGTTTATAGTCAGTGTTCTGGAAATTAAATTATTCTTTGGATGTACCTAGGGAGTCCGTAAACAAAAGGAGATTTTGGAAAGTGAATATCCAGAAGTTTTAGGAATCAATGCACAAAATTAATAAGCATATCAGCCTAGGGATGTTGTGTTCAATTCATAGTCAAGATGCTTTGTTTATTATTTGAATAGCTCACCTTTCATCTGTATTCCAGGCTACAAAGCAAGTAGAAGGGAAGATAGGATATAGTTACTAACCTTATCCAAGGATTTAGTAACCTTCAGCACACATCCATCGCAAATCAGCCTCCAAGCAAGACGGGCAGTATTCCGAGAATCATCCAACCCTTCGAAAGTATGGTTATATTAATGTCTTCTTTTTAAACTAGTACTGGGGATAGTTCTTATTAGAGGAAAAATGTAACCTACGTAAGATTTACGTGACAGGGATTCACAGAATTGCAACACATAGTTATCTAGTTCAAAAAAGGGAAGCGGATGTAAAATATTCCAAAAAATTCCCTGTGCTGAAACATCTGAAGGACCAAGCCATAGAGCTGAATACAGATCCACAATTTTTAAAATCCTTGCTCTGTTTTATTAATCACATTAAAAAAAAAAATCATATTGTGCTAGTATTCTCTTACACTGATATGCTGTCTAGAGCTATCAGGTAAAATAAAGTTTCCTTATCCTTCCTCTACCTCTTTTCTTTTGCACCCTAGCAATTCAAAAAAATTATCTTGTTGAACACACAGTCATTAGCACTAGCAGAGATTTCAGAAATAAAGCATGAGGTTAGAAATAACAAACTGATCTTTGAAGCATCTAGCCTTTCTTGTTTTGATGTTTCTGTTGGACAGAACATTACACAACCTGGAAACAATAGTTACTATTTAGAATAATGACTAGCTGTTACTAGCTGCTTTAGTTTAGCTAACTAAAGCTAAATAGTAGCTATTTAGCTTTATAAAAAATACATATATTAAAATAAGGATCATCATATCATACTTACCAGAATGCTCCCGTCCTGCAAAAGCTATCCCCAAATCCTGCAAAGCGCCATTTAGCCCTTTAGGCTTCCTATTATAGAAGGCCTAAGGAAAAAACCACAAGTGCTTAACATAAAGCATTTCAAAACCTCCTCATAGTGAAGTGAAAACCATTTCAGAAGTACCACCTTATGAAAAATAAATCTCACAAGACAATTGTGCAAGTCAGGTATCTTCGTTTTACAGTCAGGATAAATAAGCCTAAGACAGTAAGTGACTTCCCATTCTAATTTGTTACAGGGTAAGACCCACAAATCCCTTCTCAGTCTTACACTAATCCATTCTGTCTTAGCTCTGGAGTCATTCATTTGCACTTTATGGCTTACATTGATGAAGGCCTTAACAGAGCAGCATTGAAGAATACTACTATAAATAATGCCTTGAGAGGTTTAAAATGTTACACATTGCAAAGGCATGGGCGTTAACGTATTTGGCATAGGTATAAATTCTTTTTAAATGAGAAGTGAGTATTGCTACAAGCTCTTAGTATCTCATTTGATCACAGGAAAGGGAGAATATTCACACCGTTTATCTTTAAAGACCTAATTCTGCTACCTAGGTTAAGAGCCTCAGCACCAAGTGTCAGGACAGGTAGGCTCCTAGATCACCCTTTCAAAGTTTCCTTGACTACACAGGGAAAGGTACACTTAGGTGCAGTTAGCTCCCAAGTTAGAACTCTGTTACAGTGTAGACTATGTAACAAAATGTACATTCATTTTTTTCAGTATTATTTGTGCTATTCAGAATATACTTTCTGGTCCAAGTGCAGTTCATGTGCTAGACCTTTAAGTACCTCTAAACAGATGATGATGATGATGACTATTTTCTACGCAGCAGCGTAGGGCAGCAACAAGAGCACACAAAACAAGGGAAGTTAGGAAGCAAGCAGAGCAAAAGATGTGAGGAAAGGAAGAGCAGCTCAGAAAATTCTCCTAAAATTATCATTCATTTATCTAACAATAACACCAGGTTGTTTCTCTAGCATTAAGATTTCTGTTAAAATTCACACAGTTCTAGGGCATGCAGTTTGTTACTGAGCGACAACAACATGGAAAGTGAACAAATGGGTTACTCTAGTCACAGGAACATAAAATATTGGCTTGTAACCTCAGATACAGTTAGCCTTTGAGATGGTAATATGAGTGTGAATGTTTCACAGTCTATCAGTCGTCTCACCCTGTATGTTGCTTTGAGATCAATCCAGGAATTAAAAATGTCAGGTTTTCGCAGCTGCTTCCTTTTACACTCATACTGTAAACACACACCCAGGTCCCAATCTGCACAGAAAAAAAAGGACAAATAATCCATCACTGAAGAACTGGCCTAAAATCTACATAAACGTGGCTTAAAATCTACATAAAGTGGCATAACATCAACATACTAGTAGCATCCTATACTGCTGGACAGGAAACACAGGCTAATGAAGTCCTTGTATGTGAAAAGCACTAGGCTTGCTGCAAAGGGACACCACGATAAGTGAATGCCTGTTGTTAGTAAAGAATGACTTCAGATGGGTAAAGATCTTAAAGACCTCATTAAATCATTTAGACACATTAAGAATGGTGACACAGTTCACTATATGTAGAGCAGAAAAATGTAACAATATCAGACACTGGAGACAGAGGTGTAGTGAACACATCAGGATTCAATGGATTTTGTATTTTCAGTCTTAGCCCAATACTGCACATCTTTAGTACCTAATAACAGGATTTGGGCTCCCTGGAAGCGAAGATGCAATCTCACTAGCACCACCAAATGTTAATTTTTTGTGTGTATTACTCCACAGAAAAAGCAAATGAAACTTTTATTTACCTGTCCAAGTAACAAAGGTACATGCTTTTGCTTCTGAAGTAGAATTACTTAGAAGATCAGTACTGAATATAATTTTCTTCTCCTTTTGTATCTTTTGAATCCATTTCAAAAACTGTGATAAACAAATGTTTAGAGGGACCCCTTCGTCAACCTGATTCTTTATGAAACAGAACAAGAAGTACGTACGTGTTAGTGTGCACTGAAATTCATTTGAGGTTTATTTCTTTTTAGCCCTGTAAAGGCCCCTTTAAATAAAAGAGTAAATAGCAATTATACCTGCGTTATGCCAGTTAGTTCTGTACAAAATTCAGAGAGAATAGGATGCTCCTGGGGCTGGACATAGGTGTGGAATTCAGATTCAATCTCTCCTGTTGAAGTGTTTAACAGGACTGCTGGAAATTCGACTGCGACGAAAGCAGAACGAGAAAAACAAACAAAACCAAAACACAAAGCCGGAAAGGTTGAAGCTGCTGGCAGAAATTATTCCGTTTGCTTTAAACTGGGGTTGCAACGTCAGGAACCAGGAGGAGCACCACGCGATGCAGACGCCGCGTTCAAAGCCGCCTCCTGCGAACGGCC